CGTCGTAAATTACGCCACTGGTAGATTCTTTGTCCAGGGGCACCCATGTAAGTGGTATTGCGTTTCATAGAGGCCGGTGATGCTGCAGAAAGTGTCCTCCGCGGCCTTATGTTGAAAAATCTGTCACCGTGGCGTTTTTCATGAGCTCAATTATTATGTACGTTCAATTGGTATCATTATAATGAGAGCTAACAGACTTCACTTCTTTTTTTTCTTTTGGTGCCAGTTTTATTGGATAAGGCATGCCGCTTGCCCTTTCTGACGTGTCCTGTTATCGCATGTTCACTCCGAGTATTAAGGTGTACGTTACGAGAATGCAAATGTATGGCTGTGGGAATCGGTCTTCACGTAGTCCTTACAAAAGAGTGCGTGAATTTGATGTTGTGCTTGAATTTTTAATTTGTGGGTAATGTTTTCAGGCGAACTTGAAAATTGTTTCCTCTTTTCTGCTATAGATTCAAAACTACTGAATTAGTGTTTCGTGGTGTCATCGCTTTGAGGCATTGCTCTTGGTCGCAGTTTTATGCACTGGTTACAGTCAATTCTTAAGAATACACGAGGGCTTGCACTATTAAGCTCAAAAGGAGAAATGATGAATGTCTAAACTCAAAGGAAATGAGAAATGACTCGAAAGAACTTACGCATCGCTCTTTCATGAAGGTATTTCATAATGGGTCCACTTGAACTACCTTGTTAACTACTACATTTTCTGCAAGGTTGTCAGTCACAATCACCTGCTGGATTGCAGGAGCAAGTTCAATGGAAGATAACCATATTCGGTCGGTGGTCGGCGGCGCAGTGTTGAAGTGGCAATCAAAAAGGCCATGTTTTTGCACTTCTGCTAACAGCAGCTGTACTAAGAAAATAGTGCGAGCGACAGATGGCACCAAGAACTGAACGTCTTTTGACGTACCGAGAAGTGTCTCTCTGTATAAAGTATAGGATCGACGTCACAAGCACAAGGTAACATGCAATTTACTCTTGTCCTGCTCCCTAGCTAGAAAACGTTTACTTTTGAGAGTTCTGCTTGCATTGGTATTTGCACTGGCCAGCTTTGCTGACTTCAGCATTATTTTGACGCTTTTGTCCAGAAGACTCAAAAAGGGTGCTTTTATTCATAAAAAAATATGCTATAGTTTCTTGGAGAAATCTTTAACATATCGTGTTCCACGTACTGCTAATGATCTGGATGGCAAATGTCACTGAGAAAGTCCCGCCGTGGTGGTCTAGTGGCTAAGGTACTCGGCTGTTGACGCGCAGGTCGCGGCATCAAATCCCGGCTGCGGCGGCTGCATTTCTGAGGGAGGCGGAAATGTTGTAGGCCCGCGTGCTCAGATATCGGTGCACGTTAGAGAACCCCAGGTGGTCGAAATATCTGGAACCCTCCACTATGGCGTCTTTCATAATCATAAGGTGGTTTTGGGACGTTAAACCCCATATATCAATCAAATCTCACTGAGCAGTTATGAGCGGAAAAATATGCCGATTTGACTGCAGCTTCGTCTCTATTGCTTCTCCCGTGCTCTGTGTGCTCAGTGGCCTCATAAAGTGGCGCCAACACGGCTGTGCTGCCCGCTGGCGAGCGGCGCACCACATGCCAGGAAAAAAAGTGTTAGACACGTTAAAGAAGAAAGGTGAGCTTCTCCAAAACGTAGATCGTTATAATTGCGTCGAGCTCCACGAGTAACACCCACACGTGCCTCTAATTCTATGCAAACTCGTTTTAAATTTATGAGCGTGCGAGAATAAAATGCCCCATGGCTACATCCTAGACCAGCCGCATCGAGCCGAGCGAAGAGCGGCGCAGGTGATCAGAGTGAGCGAGCTCATCACGGTCAAGAGGCAGGCGCGAGGAAGCAGACCAGGAGAGGGTCTCTGTCCGAGATCGACGGGACCTGACTGCATTATCATGGAGAGCGCTACTTCAACGTGGTCACTCTATTCGCGACATTGGAGAATGTAGTTCGCTCTTCGAACTTGGCGTTCATGACTTGGTTAACGTTCTGCGGCACCCTCATATGCTATCCCATTTCACACAAGAGTCACTGACATATATTTACTTAATAAGTGTGAAACCAAAAAAATGTATTGGGGTGGGGGGGAGAGCTACTCATGCTCTCATGCTCTTATGTGAGGTGTGGTTTCACTGAAGGCTTCAACTTGGTATATGGAGTTGACCGGAAAGCTCAACCTTAATGACGCTGTCTTTCGTTCAGCCATACTCTCATCTGACATGATTCTTGTTATGGAGCTAACATTACTTAACGAAAGCGTCACGTGGCTATTTTTTCATCCCGCCGATGAAAGGACGTGCGACAATAGTTTGTCAAAAAAAAAGGTGCTTTTACATGAAAACTGTGACTGGTATGCTACACTTAGAAAACGCGGCGTTCTAGTTCGTACATCCGATGACTTTCAGGAATAGTGTATCAAAGGTTATATCATAGCAAATCACATTAAAGGCATGACTTCGCCTTCTGTACCGTTGATGTTGAAACATTGCTGGTTTTTACGTTTGTTTCTTCCGGGGGAATTCAATTTGTGCTTTGTTTTCGAAACTCAATTAGGTTTACTTTCAATAAAGTAAAAAAGTAAGAACCAGTCTTATGACAATGCATAAAATAGTAGCTTGGCTTAGTGTCTGTGAAGCCTGTTTCAGATAGGTTAAATCTCAGAGCGCATGGCATCGCGGTGCTGCCAGCGCTGCCGTAGCGCGCCGGCAGCAGCTCGCGCAGACGCTTGAGGAGCGTGGTGTTGAACCACGTCGTCTGCGAAAGCAGTTCGCGGTGGCCACATTGTCGGGCTGCCTGCTGATTTCACCGTTGTAGCGAGAACTAGGCCGGTATTCTGCACTAAACATTGTGCGATGCCGACCTATCTGCCTTCATTGGCGATAATTGGGTTTGACGGTATTCGGCAGCATACGTTGTTTGATCTTTCGAAACGCCGGGGTACTGAGTATGTTCCCGCATATTTCTTCTTTGTATGTGCACCGCAGTACGCTGTGACGGGGAGCCCCGCCGCAGTGGTCTTGTGGCTAAGGTACTCGGCTGCTGACCCGCAGGTCGCGGGTTCGATTCCCGGCTGCGGCGGCTGCATTTGCGATGGAGGCGGAAATGTTGTAGGCCCGTGTACTCAGATTTGGGTGTACGTTAAAGAACCCCAGGTGGTCAAAATTTCCGGAGCCCTCCACTACGGCGTCTATCAAATTCAAATGGTGGTTTTAGGACGTTAAACCCGACAAATCGATCAATCAATCAATCAACGCTGTGACGGGGAAGCACATGATGGGCGCGTACCGTGTCTGGTATTTTTTTCACGCTAAAGGAAACTAAAGTCCTCTACGGTGACTTCCGTGCAGGTATGCGGGTTGAACACAATAAAGCAAACGGGAACGAGTGCTGAAGTGGTGTGTTGGTTAAGACAACGACCTGACTGTGATTTTTCTCGATGGCATTTCATTATATGAGGCGGCACTCACTCGCCGGCACCGAAATGCACACGTGAATCTTTCAACTTAATACCTCGCCATGTCCCCAGTGGCAGCGATGACGGCGCTCAGTTCCCGCAGTAATGACTAAATTCACCCGCTGCCCGAAAATGCGCCCACCGCCGTCGCTGACCACACTATTAAACCATTCGATCGGCGTTTTATTGAGTTATACCATATTACGAAATTAACTAGCCGATGATTTCCTCTTATTGTTGTGATTTGGCAACATCTTAGAAATTTTTTGTTGGTCATACAAGGTGAAAAAGCCTAGACAAAACACACTAAAAGAGAATATTGACTACAGCTTCGTATAGTTAATAATGTCTACAAGGTAATTTTTTGCATCTAAGACAAATGAACTACTCATCGAAATTTGGCGTCGGTTGGCTGTATGTGTCTTTCTATCTTCGTAGACCTCACTAAAACCATGATGCCACAAGTGAAAGTTCCTCTGCTCCATTTCTTTCTTTTCTTCCCGCTGCCATTTGCTGCAGGGTTAATTGTAATATACCTCGGACTCTAGTGTATGTGCTCCCGTAATTGTTGTTTCCTTTTGGGATCCGCGTATCGATTCTTCCGCGAAGGCCAAGCCCAGGTCGGCTTCGTTTGTCCGGCAGCTTCTGACGTTCAATGAGCTAGCAGTGCCGGCAGCGATGCAGTGCCAACATATGCGCCAGCGTAATCAGTGGCCTGATCTTCGTCCCGCTCAAATTGTGTTCCTTGCTTCGAACTGGCTGGCCGTCTACGACAAGTATGGCAGGGCGCGATCACGCGAAGCGGCGTGTGCTTTTCACACGTACCCCCGTATTCAGAAACGCTCCTCGACTTGACTTTCACCCTTCACTTGGCAGAGTTGCGCACTGCGCAGCTACTCGGCTGAAAATGACGCTGCACTACTCAAGAATAGCAGCAAGTTATCGCTGATATGCAGTGACGTTTACTGCCTAGATATGGCGCTCCAAACGGCTTTCTCAAGTGAAGGTGGAGCATTGAGTGAAGGGGCGTTCTAGAATACGGGGGGTAGTATCTACGTGTGGAAAGCACACGTAGATACTACGTTACAAGAGAGACATCGAATATCAACCTAGAAAAGGCCGAGAGAGTATCGAAAGCAAAAAAAAAAAAACAGCTGAATTTAACTTGCTCGCCTTAGTGGACGAAATTCTTCGACGCTGAAGGAACGAGTTGTACCTGGCATGAAAAAAAAAAATTGCCGTTCGAGCAGAGCTCAGAAACCACCATCATAGTAAAGTATGTGCGTGAATGAAAGGAAAGAATGCAGGAAGGTAGTGACTATATACAGGCGTAAGCGGAGGCCATGCCAAAGAACAAGAAATAGAAGGGGTCGAAAAGCAATTAACACAGAAATAGAGCGTAATTGGTGTGTTTCTGGGCTGTTTTTTTGTGTTTGTTCTCAGATGTCGCCTTTGTGAACTGAATCGCTAACAGTCTCTTGCATGACTGTGATTACTAAAGCGTGCTTTTCTTCTCTTTTCTTGTGTTGCAGTTACAGAAAAAGAAGTTCGACAATGGTGAGTAAAATTTATGTGCTCCTTTTATGGTAGCCTAATGAATGTTATTCTACCGTTTTCCTTACAGAAAAAAAGTTTAAACACTCATTTTATGTGCAACGCGCACCGTAAACTTAAACCGTAAATAAAGCGTAGTTTGGTAAGCCTCCGCAATTTCGCTGTCTTCAGTTGCAGTAAAGGAAGCTGCAAGTAAAGCACCAAAGTAAGAAGTAAGCAAGGTTTCTCAATTCACAATATTCTTAATGAAAAAACAACAGATTTGAAGGGGTCAGGACAAGGCCACCTAACACTTTGCGGCTTTCAGCGAAAAAAATAGAATGTAGGGACGATTTACGGAAACCAAACACCGCTATATGATTAATACGCACGCCATAGTGGAGGGCTCTGGAAATTGCGAACAATGTAATGGGAGGGCTATTGTGGCTATAATTATACAAAAAATAGACTGCAAGAGAATATTTCAGCGCCAAATAAACCTCAAGAAATACTACCTCAAGGAAAAAATTAGTTTACACAGCTCTTAAACGTGGCCAACCCACAGAAACTTAGTGACATATGCTGTTACATTGTCAAGGAGATAGATGCAACAATAAAACAAGACGGCTGACACCAGGACAGCTATAAAAAGCTGTGGATTGAAGTTCCATGCGTAACTATCACCGAGTTTAGACCATATGAGCCATATGTCCTGCGGCTGCGCAACTGAAAAATGCAGCGTATAAATTGATTTGAGCAAAGGAGAGTGCGATTTTATATTTAAAGAGGCCCTGCAACACTTTTTGAGTTAGGTCAGAAAACATTGCCGATTCGTAGTAGGAAGCTCCCGAGAACACGCGAGACAAATAGGATAGCGCAGCACGTGGCCTGGAATTCACAATAAATTATCAGTCAGTAAAACTTCCTTTCCCTTCTCTCGACAAATAATGGAGGAAGCTCAAAATTCATTCGTAGAAGGCCGTCTATCAGCCATTGGCTGATTTGAGCACGAGGAAGCTCAAAAGTCATTCGTAGAAGGCCGTCTATCAGCCATTGGCTGATTTGAAGATGGCACGCTCAGTCGTTACAGGGATCGCTGCAGGAGGCCTTGACTTGTCCACGCGTGCACGCGCGATGACACTGAAAAAGCCACGTATTTGTAGAAAAAGAAGAAAAAAAGTGCTCAAAATCACGAGGCGTGCGGGACGTATTTTCTTTGCCCATGCCACTCCCCCCCCTGCTTAGCTTCCAGTTTTTTCGCCGGAATGAGAGAAGAGAGAATGCGATTGCAGCGTGCGACAAATCTTTCTAGCTCCGCTCGTACTGGATGGATTCCTAGAATTTTCGCGTTACTGAATTCGTGAGGCAATAAGCTATTTGGGTGAATCGCTTCCATGGTTACTTGAAAAGGTGTTTTAGGGTCCCTTTAAGAAACTCGTGACAGTCGGGCTAGGATGAGATGTCATAGGCATCTTCGAATTGCTAAAACCTTGAGAAAGAAGTCGCACAGTATCTGAACAACTGTAAACCCAAGATCACACTATCAGCACACACTTAACTATAACTTGTACCAATGTATCGGTTTAAGAAATATTTTTTTATCAGAATAACACACCTTTAAAAAGTCTCCGGTAATTTGTCTATGCATTCTATGCAAAAGTCTGTCAGGTAAATCAACCTTTTAATAGTCAATTTCCCTCGAATGAACTTGATCTGCGGACCCGCACTTCATTTTATATCAATTTTGATCAATTTTCCGCTCTTCAGCACTGGCGTAGCTGATGCGTGCTGCCCCCAAATTACCCATACACTGGCGGCGGTGCAACATCGCTTGTGCATGCAGCGCCACCTAGGCAAAGTGACCATATGGCAGACAAAAAGACGAGCAACACGCACTCCAGTGCCCGCGCAGAGCAATCAAATTAGTAAGTTGTTTCCAGTGTCCATCCGAAAGCGAAAGCAGAGAGATGACTGTGACGAAGACCCTGTAATGGCTGAGGCAGGTTCACTGTCTCTAGCAGAGGCTGTAATCTGTATAAGAAAGCTGCGAGACCTCGTGTCACAGCAGCAAGCTGTGTCAGAGGCTCTGCACAGAAATGTATACTCTCTGCACAGCTTTGTTTTTTTTGCGTTTTAAGGGCGCTAGAGCGAATGAAAATTCTAGAATTCTTTCCAAATAACGAGCATTTCGCACGTTTGACTTCATTTCTGCTGTGCCTAATGCTGCTCTGTATTCAAGTGAATATTCAGTTTAGTGAAATATTTCCTAGGGTCCCTTGAAGTTCACTTGAGTGAGAGTTCATTGTTACACATAAAGGGGATTTCAAATAACAATAGTAATGATAATATTGCTAATATCTAGGTTTTACGTTCCACAACCACAGAGTGATTACGAGGATTATAAGAGACGCCGTAGTGGAGTGCTGAGAAAGTTCGAACATCTGGTGTTGATGTGCAGTGACGTCACACAGTACATGGGCCTCTAACGCTTCGCACCCCGCCGTGGTGGTCTAGTGGCTAAGGTACTCGGCTGCTGACCTACAGGTCGCGGGATGGAATCCCGGCTGCGGCGGCTGCATTTACGACGGAGACGGAAATTTTGTAGGCCCGTGTGCTGAGATTTGTCTGCCCGTTAAAGAACTCCAGGTGGTCGAAATTTCCGGAGCTTACCACTACGGCATCTCTCATAATCATATGGTGGTTTTGGGACGTTGAACCACACATATCTATCTATCTATATTTATATCTATCTATCTATCTATCTATCTATCTATCTATCTATCTATCTATCTATCTATCTATCTATCTATCTATCTATCTATCTATCTATCTATCTATCTATCTATCTATCTATCTATCTATCTATCTATCTATCTATCTATCTATCTATCTATCTATCTATCTATCTATCTATCTATCTATCTATCTATCTATCTATCTATCTATCTATTTATCTATCTGTCTGTCTATATCCTATCTATCTATCTATCTATCTATCTATCTATTTATCTATTTATCTATTTATCTATCTGTCTGTCTATATCTATCTATCTATCTATCTATCTATCTATCTATCTATCTATCTATCTATCTATCTATCTATCTATCTATCTATCTATCTATCTATCTATCTATCTATCTATCTATCTATCTATCTATCTATCTATCTGTCTGTCTGTCTGTCTGTCTGTCTGTCTGTCTGTCTGTCTGTCTGTCTGTCTGTCTGTCTGTCTGTCTGTCTGTCTGTCTGTCTATCTATCTATCTATCTATCTATCTATCTATCTATCTATCTATCTATCTATCTATCTATCTATCTATCTATCTATCTATCTATCTATCTATCTATCTATCTATCTATCTATCTATCTATCTATCTATCTATCTATCTATCTATCTATCTATCTATCTATCTATCTATCTATCTATCTATCTATCTATCTATCTATCTATCTATCTATCTATCTATCTATCTATCTATCTATCTATCTATCTATCTATCTATCTATCTATCTATCTATCTATCTATCTATCTATCTATCTATCTATCTATCTATCTATCTATCTATCTATCTATCTGTCTATCTGTCTCTGTCTGTCTGTCTGTCTGTCTGTCTGTCTGTCTGTCTGTCTGTCTGTCTGTCTGTCTGTCTGTCTGTCTGTCTGTCTGTCTGTCTGTCTGTCTGTCTGTCTGTCTGTCTGTCTGTCTGTCTGTCTGTCTGTCTGTCTGTCTGTCTGTCTGTCTGTCTGTCTGTCTGTCTGTCTGTCTGTCTGTCTGTCTGTCTGTCTGTCTGTCTGTCTGTCTGTCTGTCTGTCTGTCTGTCTGTCTGTCTGTCTGTCTGTCTGTCTGTCTGTCTGTCTGTCTGTCTGTCTGTCTGTCTGTCTGTCTGTCTGTCTGTCTGTCTGTCTGTCTGTCTGTCTGTCTGTCTGTCTGTCTGTCTGTCTGTCTGTCTGTCTGTCTGTAAGCTATTCTCGCTGCCGGGATGATCTCTAAAATATCAAAGAGTAGCATAGAAGTATATCTATAACAGTTCTCAAATGTACGCCCCATGAGTGAGCCTAAAACGGAGCACCTCGAGACATCAAAATCAAGTTCATTTTAATGAAAATTTCCGATAGTTGCCTACGCCATACGTTTGTGTTTGACTGCCATGCTCTTTGCGCATGCTCTATGCGAAGGTTGCCAACATTTTTCTTACGTGCGAATGCTACTGAACGCGGCACGCGCAGTGCAACTTCGTACGGGAGCGTGCTTATATAAGTTAAAAAAAGTACTGCTTTTTTTTCGGAGCTACTCGAAACCTAAACCGGGACTGGGTGCCCAGAAAACTTCTCGAAGTAATTAACTCTCGTGCGTTTGAGGAAACGAGATTCCTAGGCTTGATAAACGGGTAAGTAGGCGCTCATGACCTTAGCAAAGGCAAAATGTAAAATTACTCTTTCAGTACTATTTTAATCAATCTAGAAAGCAAGAGAGCAAGCTGGCTCCAGAAACGAATACATATATAAATGACCACAGACATGCGATCAATCATAATTGAGAAATCTGCCGAGTACAACAAACACTTTCATATGGCTTTTATTGACTGCAGCAAAATGTTCTACTCAGTTGAGATAATCGTACTCATAGTGACATTGTGCCGTCCAGGAGTTCTTAACACATGTGAATGCCAGCACCAATATTTAGGAAGATTTTCTAGCTACCACTTTTGTCTGGTAAAAGAGAATTAATTACGATGCAAAAATTGTATTGCTTCAAGAGATATAATTTCTCCAAAGTAGTTGAGTGCTAGCTTAGAAGTATCAAATGAGTGGCAACAAGTGTATTACAGTGTTTGCGTCCGCATAGGGGTTTTGCTGAGAGATTCGGCTTCAAATCTGTCCCCTTCCCTCTGTTGAACATCGCTGCTTAGCAGGAGAATTGGTATATTTAGGCCAGTTATTACTACATTAGTCTCTTTTTGAAAAAAAAAAATTGGCAGGAGAACACCAGGGAGACATTCCCAAATTATGACCGCTAATAACA